TTATGGTTTACACTTTGCCATGGGCGCCGGGGCGTGTTGTGCTGTGTCACTGATCTGCTCAGCAGCTGCGGCGCACAGATAAACAATCAGGCAGAGTCACAATCAAAAAGCTGAGGAAAGGGGTGTGATGTTTCTGAGCATCTGCACCGGGCACGTTTATCATCAGATGTTGTATGTGGTGAGTTCTCGCCATCTCGCCCATTACGAGTTGCCAGAATACACCAGAGCTGCAGGGGGGGAAATGTGAGCGGGCGAATACAAATCGATCCTCTCGCTGAATAACTTCCATTAAATCCAACCTTTCAATCACAACCTCCGACTGCTCCGGTGGAAAAAGTCACAGTTATTAGTGGAGCCCAACATCACATACAGTGTTTCCTCAACAGCAACAGTTTCTTAGAAGACAAGGAAACTTAAGAAAAACCCAGACGGACATTTTTTGAAGAAATAGCACAGAGGAAATTAATATTCAAGATCCCCTCTGCCCCACCTCTCTTCTGTTGGGTGTAAATCCTAAATACAACAACGGCACTAATCAAATAGAATTCCAAAAGGAGCAATAATAATGTGGCTATAGAAGGTAGATACACACCGGCTGCATAAACCGCTGGCAGAATCTCCCCCAGCTGCGTTTTATGAAAACAGGTTTCTAATAATAAAAAGTGTATTAAACCAGGATGTGTATTGGAAAGCTTGTCTCATTGTCACTTCAACGATTGTTCCCTGACATTAAAGGAGTCAGACGAAGCCTGGATCTGCTTTTGAATATCTAATCGCAAGGACAAATAATGAAGAAGGGAAGTTTTATGAAGTTTTGATCTCAGTTTTAAATAAATATGAAGCATGCCCCGTCTTCATCGTATTCATGTTGTATTTTTTATTTCATTTTTTTTCCGTCTACTGTCAGCGCCTTCAGTGTCTCCAGTGTGTCCAGATCTGTTACCTGTTCTTCACTGATTTACTGTCTGATTTTTTGCATTGCATCATGTTCTTTTGTTCTTTATATAGTGCAAATGAAATGAGCTTCCAGTAGCTAATGTTTTCCAGACAGTTTTTGACACTTTCAAAGCCCCGGTGCTTATTAAGATTAAAAATATTACAAGACTTCACTGCTTCTTCTATAATGTTACAGTATGTCTATAAATAGAAAATCCTCTGAAGCAGCGTTTAGGCCCTTCACGAGACACTAAAACTCTGCAACATGCTAACAGGGCCGTCAGACTGGCTGGCAGCCGTTCATGGCAGGTTGAAGCAGGTTTTGTTGTTGTTTGTTCTCAGCCCCCCGACTGACGCTGTCAAATAAAATCCTTGTCATCCTCACGTCCGCCATATTGACAGTGGCGACTCTGGCTCTTACGTAATACAGTTTACAGGCCACCCACTGTTCAACTTCAACATTTGTAGATGCCCCCCAACAAATGTGATTTTTCTAGAGAAGAAGAAGAAGAAAACGCCAGCAGCATAATGGAGAACAAACAAATGATACAACTGCTCAAAAAATATTATTTTATATAATTAAAACAAGAACCAGGAAATGCATCGACTGTAACTGTTCACTTATTGATTTTATTTGGGGTATTTCATATCCTAAAGTTCAGATTTTTCCGAATCTCTCCCATTTTGAATTATTGATCACTGGATCTGAAAAGTGAATCTTCTAATCTGATTATTAATAAGAAATGTGTGCGTGTAATTCATCTGCTTCAGGGGTTATTTAAAGAGACCTGAGTAAGATGTTTAATTATGCAATTTTATGTTTATTTTCATTATAATCACATTTTATCAGACTATTTGCAGTGGACTTCTTTTTTCTTTGTTGACATCTAGGGTTTATTTTATTTAATTACAAGCTCTCTGTGTGAGTTTTTTTTTATTTTATGTGAACTTATTATTTAAGTGCTCCCAGCAGTTTGCAAGAATGAACTTACAGATGCAGCTGCATGAATAAAACAGAAAGGAGAAGATCCTTAAAGAAAAGTTAAAAGGGCAAAAGAAAAAAAAATAGAAAGGAGAAGAAAAAAAGGAGAATTTTATTTAAGAAAAAAAGACGCTCAGTGGATTTATTATTTTGATATAATCATGATGCGATGGAGGTTTGATTTAGGATGGGAAGTAAAAGTAACTCTTCTTTTCTTATACATTAGTCCAGTACTACTTCATACTGAATAAGGGTTCATGTGTAATTATTACCTCCAAACTCTTTTATCTGTCTCGGCTGGGAGCAGTAAACTTTTGAATTAGTGTTATACTCATATCTGGAGCTCACCACGCAAAATATTCTGCCATTAGTTGATTTCTATTGGACATTTTCCCCACTAATAAACCTCGATTCTGCCCTGGTGCCCATAAAAAATGACAAAATACCATATTCTTCCCTCCACTTCAGCCGATCACATAATCAGTGCCACATATATTACAGCTCAGGGTCAATACTCAGCCATTTTCTGAGGCCATCACATTTCTCTCCTTCTTCTTAACTGGCTTTTCTCCTTATCAGTGATTCTTTCTTCCATTTCCACTGCTCATTGCTTTTTTTTGTTTTCTCCATCTCTTCTTTTCTTCCTCCTCTTCTTCTTCTTCCTCCTCCTCCCTGTCTCCTCTCCTCCACAGCCTGGTTGTTAGCTGATGGTAAGTTGTCCATTCTTCCCCTTTAAGCATCTCCACTAACATCACCTCCTGTGTGAACAGTGTGGTTTAAACATCAGCTGTAAATCTGAGGGTCCCTGTGCACAGTGTGAAATCAGTGATGATTTAGACGCTTTATTTTTTGCTGTGGATCGAGATTTTAAATCAGGTGTGATATAAATAAACTGCATGCCAACTCTGTTATCTTCCGCTGTCATTGTTACAAAGAACTACATGCTCTTTTGCTGCCCTCTCCCGCTCTTAACGCCGGATTTGCATGCTAATCACAAGATTAATTAATCATAAATCCATAAATTATGTTCTCAAGTCAAGAGCAAGGTACAAACATTTGATAACCGTCAAGATAAAAACCTGCAGTTCCGAAATTAGAAATTTAATTACCTTTGTGTGATTGTGTTATATATTTTTTTTTCAACATCCTTGTCAGGGAAGTAGTGTCATGTCGTGGTGCAGCGCGGAGCAGGGGAATGGCTGGATAATCAAATTTTAAACATGAGCAAAAGAAATCCCGTCAGGACTTGAGGGTACACACTGTCTTGGGTGTGTAATTGATTTAGCTTTGAAAAGTGTGTGTGTGTGTGCAGGCACTCATACGCCGGTATATTATGCATGCCTCTGTGTGTGTGAGTGTGTGTGTGTGTGTGTGTGTGCGCTCGCCGACACGTCCTCCTATCAAGGGGACTTGGCTGTGATCTTTAATGGCAATGTTAATATTTAATGGTAAGCGTGTTGTCAGCAAAGAGCAGCAGGCTGGGACTCGGGGGCTCGTATAAAAGATGACAAGGTCTCTGCACCAGGTGGCTCAGTGGGGGTGTCACACACGGAGCAGGATGAGAGGCCTCTGGATGCACAGCCGCCTCTTCTTGATAGAGTTCGACAGCACAGAATTGATGTTATGGAGCTCTTTGTAGTTTTGCGGCGCGCTCGGGAACTCTGGGAGGCATTGTGGCTTCTTTCTGCAGCAGAGCCACACAGGACACGTCTGATAGGCAGATAGAGGGATGCGTCAGGACGTCCGCAGTCCTCGGGAATCACTCTGAATATGGAAAAAACTGAAATAAGGCCTTAAAGAGTTTTGACAGTGAATGGAAAGCCTTGAAAGTGCTTGGTTTTTATTGTATTGCACCCAATTTCATCAGTGTGGCTCAGCTCTGCAAACCTATGGCGAAGAGTAATGATGATACAGTGTTAGATTTAAAGGGCCAGTTCACACAAATAAAATTAAAAAAAAATAAAAAAAAAACAAGCACGAAAGCTCTTGGCAAAACAATGCCAGACTTCATCAGCAGATGGAGTTTGCTCAGTTGTCATGGAAATAGATCTCTTGACATGTTTCTATTCAGGTCTATTCATTTGCCACAGTTTCAGTTCTTTGTGCTTCTATTCACCTTCTCTGTGTTTAGGCTGGTTCTGATCCACTGAGTCGCTGCCCGTATCTTGTTGTGTTTGTTCAGCCACTCCTCCGCCTGGTGGACCAATAGTGAACCAATCAGAGGGCTGGGATTAAGAACGTAAACGTCGTCTTTCTGCATACAGAAAAATGGCGACAGGTGTGGATGAGATATGTGCATCTTGACAAAATGTTGCACGTCGTCTTACTAAATAAAAACGCTCTAAATGAACATGTTTTTATTATTTGATTAATGGGAAAAAGGAAAACTCGTTCAGTCACTCGCTGCTGGTGAGTTTGGGAAATTCAACAAAATGACATGGACGCTGTGTATCACGGTGGTGGATGTCAAAACTTTGGCTGAAGTATAATCAGGGAAAATTAGTGTTTTTGTGATTTGGATGAAGTGGCCCTTTTGAAAATGAATGGCTTTCTCTGGAAGTTCTGCATGACCTTTTATTGTCATGTCTGAACCTAAAAAGACTTTGTAACCTCCAACATTCGGGAAGAAAAACAGAATAATGGGAAATCAAAAAGAAAAAGATTTGCACCCAATATTTGCATCTGCTGTGTTTGTGTGTCGATCAGTCAAGCACGCAAGTTTATCTAACCTTTACACAACAAGGCTGGAACGCCACCAAACCATCGGACACAGAGGAAGCTCTTGCAAAGTGTTAATGGAGTAAACAGTGCGACAATCAATCTTATAGATGTGCTTTAAATGCTGCACATAAAACAAATCTGAAATTTTAAGCCTGAACATTATGAAGGCGGGATAACTTCAAACTGTCACCAGTAAGGCAGCCGTCTGATGTTCATACCGTGGCTGAGTATGACACATGATAATCACCTGAGCATCCTCTTATGTTGATTGCCGTCGTTCTCAATGTGATTTCTTTTCTTTTCTTTCTTTCTTTCCTTTTTTTTTGTTTTTGCTCCCCCTGCGCCCAGATGTGCCAGACAGGAAGCTGACATCTGACGAGGAGGAAGCCAAGCGGATCGCGGAGATGGGAAAACCGGTGCTGGGGGAACACTCCAAGCTGGAAGTCATTATTGAGGAATCATACGAGTTTAAGGTGAGAAAGGTTTCATCTTCAAACAGAGCAAACGCAGCCTGAGATGCCTGATAATTACAGCTGGAACCGGTGTTTTCCATGCAGTCGAAACAGATAAGAGATCACGTTAACTAACCAGCTGCCACCTTGCATGGAAGAACAGCTGCATATTTCTAATTTCAGAAGGGTACTGTTGCTCTTCAGAGGCGTCCCAGCCCACATAGATGTACTGCTGGAGGAGATACGGTTTATATGCCTCGTCTAACCTCCTCAACCAAAAACAGTCCCACCATATTTGTTTCTGGTGTGGTGCTTTTATCATGCATCGAATAAAGGTTCGTGCCGCCTGGAACTGGATGTCACTGCCATCATGTGGCGGAGCTCGTGTATTTCTCTGTATCAGTCTCTCTGAATGCAGATTCCCGTCACTGAGGTAATAATGGACGGATTGGTGTTGTTGTTTTGGCGTTGTGTCACACAGAGCACAGTGGACAAGCTGATCAAGAAGACCAACCTGGCTCTGGTGGTGGGAACAAACTCCTGGAGAGACCAGTTCATGGAGGCCATTACAGTCAGTGCAGGTAATGTAAGAATCCACAGTGTTTTCGGCGGCACTTTCTCCAGCAGAAACAAAGCAAGACACAAATGTGAATGAATATGTTAGCTTCTTTTTGACATCAGGATCCTCAAAGTTTCCCTCCTTGAACATGCCAGTCTTTTATCTTTTATGAATCACTTGTGCATCTATAAGTGATTCCTGGTTGGACAGTTTTATGACACATGGGTCAAATTGTCTTGGCGTGTTATTTATTATTATTGATAATTACTGATATTGTTGTAAATATTGAGTTTTGTTATCTGCCGACATTATGACCAATGAGTAAATTTGAGCTGCTAATCTAAGATTTTATCATCCCACAGTATGAAAGCTGCTTTTTAGCACTTAATTTGATTCGTGTGGAGAGTTAGATGAGACGATATATTATTGTTCAATATGAAGGTGGAACCCAGAGACGGTTAGCTTAGCATGAAGACCAACAGTTTTTGTGATGATGAAACAAACAAGATAAATAGTATGATAATATAAGTTAATTATGGAGCTTTAGAAGTGGGTGGTAGGCAGATCCCTTTACCTTCTGGACAGAGCCAGGCTAGCTGTTTCCCCTTGTTTCCAGTCTTTATGCTAAGCTAAGCTAACTCTCCTGGCTCCAGCTTCTACCAATCTTCGTATCGAACCCTCAGCCAGAAAGCAAATAATAGTATTTTCCAAAATGTCAAACTATTCACTAAACTTTTATACAAGGACAAAAAGTTTTTCCACCGTCAAACTTACAGCCGTAGAATATCAGCAGCTCACAATACTGTTTATCACTGACTTCAGTCCAAAACTATTGGTGCCAGTATCAGCCTTCAAAAACTCATATCAGCCGCGTCCTCCTGGAAAGCAAAGCTCTTGAAGCACTGGAATAATCTCATGTACGTGAGAGAAAACTCATCCATCACGTCAGGCGGCGGCGGCGGCAGCGGCGGTGGCGGCATCAGATCCTCCTGCAGCCTGCAGTGCGGCTGCCGCTCTGTCCGCCGCAGTCACAGCCACCGTGAAGTGAACGTGGCGAAGGCCTCGGTCCATGACTTTGGTGCTGAAATATTTAATCCAGCGGTGCTCTTTATTTTTTCATGATCCACTCGTGGTTGAAAAATGCATGCAGCTCACATGGCCTGACACTTTGAATCAGCACGGTGTCCCTGCGCCTGTCCGCTGAGTTTCCTGTGAGCCGCTGGGACACAGAGGACGCCCTCCACAATGACGAGGACAACCATTTACATTCACACTTTTAGCTGATATAAGATGATGCTTTTATCCAGAGAGTGAGCAGGGGTTCATTTCCTTGTTCAGGCTCACTTTGACAGAACAAACAGCTGGTGCGATGGATAAATCTGTTGTAGGAAATCTCCCTTTGACCACTTGGTGCCAACAAGGTGCAAATACACCAAATACACAAAACTATCGTTCCAATTTCTAGTAGGTTTCATATATAACTTTTACATATATGTTTTTATTTATACTGTATATTCTTATACTGTATATGTGTGTTACATTTGTGTATGGGCCAAATTCATACCACATACTGATTTTGTACAGTGTAAACTTCATACTGTTTTAACAGTGTATTTACAAAGAAATCAACATATTTGATGATTTTTTCTGACACGACATGATGCAACAGACATCAAAATGTTTTTCCTGAGAATACTCTCCATCAGCAGCACATGCTAATATTCGACCATGTTTATTACAGTCCGTGCTTTGACACCATGTGAACTGTGAACACTTGACATTCTCAAAACCTGCTTACAGACAGTTTGTAGTTTGGATTTGGGACACGATGTGCGAGTTGTTTACGCACAAACTGAGCCAACAGCCAAAAGCCTGGAGCCCAGACTAACCTGATACTGAGAGTTGTTCACCCACAAAGTGAGTTAATAGAGAGGAGTTTGAGAAACCAGGTTAGAAACCCTGAATTATTAATGAATGTGAATATTAAAGAGTAAACCAAAGTTTATAACCTACAAACTGAAGTGACGGTGAAATCTATTTGTCTCTAAACTTCATTTGCAAAAACATGCAGCTCTTTTAATTCATTAAAAATGTCTCGCTCCCTGTGGCAGTTATTAATCTAGATATGTATTCAGAGTTGAATATACATAACAATAACCTGAGGCTGCAGTGAAACTGTATGACGATGTCTCAGGCTGAAAAATGTGAGAATTGTTGTTCTCTTCCTTCCCCTCTCTGTCATCCCTTATCTCCTTTATCGATCCTTTATCTCTCCACTCTTTCCCAACTCTTTACCCTCTCTGCTCCCTCTCAACTTTGTGCTTTATCATCTGTCATCATTCTCTCCTTGTCATACCCTCTTCTGCCTCATCATCCTCCATCGCTCTGTTCTTCCTCGCTCCCCGTCCCGTCTCTTAATATTCACTTCCCCTCCGTCACCCCTCTCTCTTTATCTTTGCCCAAATATTCTGCTATCTCTTCGTCCTCTGTGCCGCTCCGCTCTCTCCTGTCATCCGGTTACACTTCAATCTGTCTCGCCTTTCACCCTCCCCCTCCTCGACTCCCTCCTCCCCCCGCTCGGCCCCACCTCTGACCATTAGATGAGGACGAAGAGGACACGGGGGAAGAGCGGCTGCCGTCCTGTTTCGACTACGTCATGCACTTCCTCACCGTCTTCTGGAAGGTCCTGTTCGCCTGCGTTCCTCCCACGGACTACCTGAACGGCTGGGCCTGCTTCATCATCTCCATCATCATCATCGGCCTGCTCACGGCCGTCATCGGCGACCTGGCGTCTCACTTCGGCTGCACCATCGGCCTCAAAGACTCGGTCACCGCTGTGGTGTTTGTGGCACTCGGCACATCTGTCCCGGGTGAGTCCAGCTGTGGCACTTAAAGATTCAGTATCTTCATGTTTGTAACGTGTAAATCAGTTTTTTTAGGTCAGTTGATGGATGATATTGTTCTTTTATAGTTTGAAAGGAAAACTGTGACTTCATGAGGAAACATGCTTTGTCATCAAGACGGCCGATATTCTTATTTCCTCCAAACTGACATTTTCACCCGACAGGAGCAATATGTCACCGAGAAGTTGGACTCTGTCAGCGTTTTCTTTTATTAAAGGTCCTATGTGCGGCATTAATAAATCATTACTATTTCTTTTTTTGGGGGATGGGGGTGTCATAAAAACCTATTATAAATATTGTGAACAAACAAAGAGTAAAGCACAGACGACCTTCACACACCCATCGACTCATTCAGACGGTGTTTCGCTCCTTTCAAATGAACTGAATCGCTTGTGTTTGTCTTCATATTATTATTCAGATGTAACTGCGATGCCACAGGTTGTCGGTTGTTGTGGGAGATACTGTCGCTGTCAAAAACAAATTCCTAATATCTCCAACTTATAATTACAGCAGAGAGACTGAGAGAAACGGTTTTGGGGGCTGCTCATAATTACAGTTTAAACAAAGTGACATGAATGTGGCATTATCGTCATGATGATCTCCTTTGTTTACAAGAACTGTAAAGTATCTCTGTGGAGGAATGAGCAGTAATGTGATGTTCAAAGCTCCCCGTGTGCAGACTGTGAATGTGACTGTGGCATCTTTTCACATTGTTTTCATACTGATGACAGAAGCTTTTCTCTCTTTTTATTTGGCTGCTCATCACACACTACTCACTGAGAAAGTAATAACAATACATTCCCCTAATTATTCAGCAGCAAAAGCAGTGTGTTACATCACTCGCTATGGTACTCTCATTACACCAAGTGGTCTGCACCCGTTTAACACGTGCAAATAGAAAACAAGACCCTGCAGTTTTAACGGGCTGGCAGCTCTGCAAAGACCATCCAGCAGTTAGCTTAGCCCCTGTGACCGCACACAGTCCTGACCTCACAAGCTCCGTCCCACACCCTGCGACTCTGAAACAGAGGTGAACACAGAATTTAGATAAGACAACTCTGGAATTAGCCGGAGTCGCGTTTATTCGTCTGCCATCTACGCTGCACCTCCACCACACCCCAGACCAGTCTGCCCAGTAAGACAGTGAACAGGCCGCCATCAAATAACAAGTAACAAGTAACAGAGCGCCACTGGGATTAGTAACTCTGATGTAATGACTGAATCGCAAATTGTAATCCCTTACACTTAAACTTACTCACACATTACTGATAAAAGTAAAGAAGTCGTCACATTACTGTAACATGTTACTAAGTCATACGTTACTGCCCAACAGTGGCCACCACGAGGAGTCAAACTTCAAATCCTCCAGACACTTCAAAACGCTGCATTACACCTTGATGTGTTCAATCTGTACGTGTCCATGTGTGTCAGACTCATTGTTATAGGAAGAAGTTTTCCTTAATATATCTTGTCAGAAAGATATTAGAACCTCATTCTAAATAGTTTGACAAAGACAGCTTTCAGCCACATCTTGTGGTCTTCATCAGCAGAAGCAGTTAGGTCAGCTTCAGTCTAAGCCGAAGACCGTCTTTGCGTCTAGGTGGGGTTGACGATCGCCCTTCCTACGGCGGCCCTGAGAGCTGGCGGGGCTGCACTTGTTCCCAGCCAGGTTCATCACTTTTCAGTGTCCCCGTGGAAACACCTGTTGTGTTGTAGGACTTGTTTTGCGGCGCATTTGTGTCTCTGCAGGTGTTTTCTTAAGCTGCAGTGCGTCGAGCTCTCAGGGCCACCGTACCTTCCCCATATACACCACCTGCTATCATGTGACCAAAGTTCATACTGCTGATGAAGACCATGAGATGCAGTTGAAACATCAGCTGAAAGCTACTAAATGCACCTAACTATTTTCACAAAGTCAAGAATGATCCTCCTGCTCACTTTTAAAATCATTCAATCAAAGTGAAACCGTCATGACAACCGACTTCTGTCCCCACAGACACCTTTGCCAGTAAGGTAGCAGCCGTCCAGGACACCTACGCAGACGCCTCCATCGGGAATGTGACCGGCAGCAACGCCGTCAACGTCTTCCTGGGAATCGGCATGGCCTGGTCGGTGGCGGCCATCTACTGGCACATGAAAGGGAAGCCGTTCGTGGTGGAAGCCGGCTCGCTGGCCTTCTCCGTCACGCTCTTCACCATCTTCGCCTTCCTGGCCATCTCGGTGCTGCTTTACCGGCGCCGGGCCCACATCGGAGGAGAACTGGGCGGGCCCCGGGGACACAGACTGGCCACGTCAGCCTTCTTTTTCAGCCTCTGGTTCCTTTACATCCTCTTCTCCAGTCTGGAGGCCTACTGTCATATAGAGGGCTTCTAAACGGGAAAGACTTCAGCATGAGAGAAAACAAACACACAGGGGTTTAAAGTACAACTTCAGAGGTAAAAGAGTGAATTCTCACTGTGGAATTTGGGTCAGTCTTGTGTGGTGTGGAAGGACAGGAGAGGTAAACCCGGGGTTTTCCCAGACACCTCCCTCCCTCTCCCTCTCTCTCTCCCTCAACCCCCTCTGTAAGGATGCTTGGAGGTGTGTATCCTGCCCTCTAGTGCCGACAGGCCTGTTCGCCCTGGCTGACAGGAGAGCTGTCCTGAGCCCGCGCGAGTGTGCTTACAGTTGGGATTGGGTTACCACCAAATCCAGAAGATGCCGATGCCGACAGGTGGTCCTGCATTCCACTGGAAGAGACTGCAGTCTTATATCCGGAGAGAGTTGAGTTAATCAGAGGTCTATATTTTTCTCAACATCTGACGAGAACGACTTTTTTTAAAAAGTATTTTGGGGATAAAAACGCAAAAAATAAATCAAACAAAAAAAAAATAAATAAACACACACACACACACACACATGCACACACACATATAAAAGAGGAATCAAAGAACTATTTTCTGATCTATGTTAAGGAATAGCAAAAGATTATATCATAAATGGAAATATGTTGTTATGAGTGACAGTGGGATGGATTCATAGTATTTATTTTTATTTGCATAGTTTCCTAAGGAGCATTGCAGAGTTCTCAGAAATCACACAAAGAAGAAGAAGCAGAAGAAGAAGAAGAAGAGGAGCGACAGTGACAGTTCATACTGGCAGATGAATCACCATTCAAACAGGCGAGGAGGAAGAGGTGGACACAGTGAACATGGTCAAACTGCCCTGGACATTACTTCCGTACTCTATACGTATCTATATATAATATATTTCCATATTTTCTGTATATTTTGAATATTTGTTTAAATGTGGTCACCTTCTGCTCTAACAACAGAGGATTGCTGTGGCTAAGCGGGACGGGGAGGGGGGGTCAAACTATATACTGGAACGATGTCTTCACATTTCTAAGAGTTATGTATCTTGCCTAGGTAAAAGTATGACATTGTATTTTATTTATTTACTGATATCTTGGTCTCACTCGAATTTTCACCTTTTCAATCAGAAATCTGAAAAAAAAGAAAAAAAACAAACAAACAAACAAAAAAAACAAAACAAACAAAACAACGTGTTGCTGCAGAGATAAATTCAGAGGTATTTTTGTACTGTTCCATCCATGCACTTTGCTGTATAGTTCTATTTATGGAGACTTCTACTTGTACATGTGCAAAAGGCCCATATTAAAAGTGTCACTATGGACTGAACAGAGTGCCTGTGGAGGGAGAGGCGTTCGCTGCAGCTGCCCACACTGACCAGTCATCAGCTCTGCTCCGCTCAAGAGTTTCTCTCCAAAGTGGTGGAGAAATGTTTTTAAAGCTGCATCAGTAGATTTTTGGCCACAGCAGAACAAACTGAAAACCACGACTAAAATTGCGACTAGTAATTCTTTGCATTATTGTTTGATTATTGATTAATCTGGAGGTAATTTTCTCAATTAACTGTCTATAAAAATGTAAGAAAAATTGTGGGAAATGTGGCTTCACATTTCCCAACAGTCTGATATGAGTCTTCAGACAGCATGTGTTGTCTGACCAGCAGCCACCAACCCAAAGATGTTCAGCAAACACTTACAGAGATCAGAGAAAGGCTGGAAATCTTCCCATGTGTGGGATTACAAACAGCAATTACTGTGATATTTCTGGTTTGAAAAATGACTCAAATGATAAATTGATAATAATTGTCGACTATTTTTCTGTCAATTGACTAATCGTTTGATCATTGTTGCAGCTCTAAACACATCATCCGCCATATTATAACCTTATAGAAAGCCAAAGTCTTGCTGCCACGAGATGCTAGCTGCTGCTCTACTAGCTTCTGTATCAGTGCAATCTAATGAAAGGTTTCTTTCATCTTTATCAGGTTTCACCCTCCAATTTTAAAAAAAATAAATGTGTATTTATTAAGTTTAAACTTTTGTGATCTTAACAAACTTAAACAACAAATTATTTGTTAACACACAAAAAGCTGTAGCTCCTATAAAAATGTACCAGTACGTCACGTCACTGTAACTTGGTTTCTTCCATATCCATGATAAACAACAACAATATTCTCTAATAGTGTAATTTTTCCAGCTCTGTAGCTGTAATCACTGCTGACTGAAAACAACATCATCGTTCAGTCTTCTCTGTCCTACTGTTATTAACGCCTCACTCTGCGACTTTTTGAAAAAACCCGAGGTTCTAGGGCTTATGGGACATTTTGTTTGTTAAACATTGCTAAAAAAACAGAAATATTAAATGAACAACAATATTTCATTCTTGTTTTTTACCCTCCCTGTCTCAAGAAACGGAGTGAATTACATGACGTATTGTTGACTAAGGTTATATTCCAGGCCGACATTTTACAGTGTCAGCGTAGTTTTGAATAATGTTTACATGTTTATACAAAACCCATAAGTTATAGTTTCACTTTGGCTCTTTGTAAAGTTGCTATGGCTAATATGTTAGCAAATAGCCACTGACAGTGTACAATTAGTAGATATGGAACCATTTGGAGTCGTTCTTCTGAACTTAAGTTTAATATTCTCTCTATTTTTGCCAAATATAATATAATAATATATCTGTCACCATTAGTGACGAGCTAATTTAAGCCCAAAACAATCAGCTAAAAGAGGCCAAATGCTCAATACAGCTAAAGAATTGAGTAATAATAATAATCTTTGTGCTCATAATTATGAGCAACACCTCTTGCGTTTGATTTAGTGTTAACATAAAATAAACGATTAGTGCAGGTTGAACAAAGTAAAATCAACACAGAAAATCAAGGTGAATCCATCTTCAGAAATGTTGTTGTTGTTTTGATTTATTACGATTGAACATCACAACTCTGCTCCTGGTCGTTATGTGAAGAGTGGACGTCAGTGATGTTTTATTTTGGATTGAAACTCTTCAGTGAAGGAGCGTTGTGGAGCGGCCGCTGTGGTCGTCAGGGCAGCAGGTAGCTCCAGGTTGAATCTGAAAGTAGCCTCATATTGATACTGAATGCTGTTTAACACATGACTGGTGCTTTGTTTTTAAAATGAGAGAAAAAAAAATTAGTCGTTTGAAATCCCAAGAGCAGTAAAAAAAAAAAAAAAAAGAAAAAAAAAGTGTTTATTACTTAATTTGCATAAAGTGTATATTAGTATATAATCAGTCAATTCTTGGCTAATTTAAAAATCACCCAAGATTACCAAAGAGGTGGGATGCAACATCTGTTTTAAAAAAAAATACAAAAAAGAAAAAGTTTTTCAAAAAAAAAGAAAAAAAAAAGAAAAGACAGTGAGTGGCAGTGACACTGTATTTCCACAAGGGGGATGTCAATCTCCAGTCCCTGTGGTCGTCCCTTCTTCTACTTCTCTATTAGCACTCCTCCTCCTCCTCCTCTTCCTCAGTGTTCTTCCTGTGTGGTGAGCAGCGCTGTAAATACGTCTCGTGGCTGAAATCGGATGATCTTTCCCCGGCCCTGGACCACACCTGCTCACCTCACTCCCTCTCTCTCACTCTCTCTCTCTCTCTCTCTCCCTCCCTCTCTCCCCCCCCCTCCCCCTCTCTCCCCCTCTCTCTCTCTTTCTTTCTTTCTCTCTCTCTCTCTCTCTCTCTCTCTTATATATAAAACACACACACATTCGGAGTAGAGCAACGGGTCCACTGCTGCATTAGAGGGAGGACAGTTAAGACGGCTGACTGTCCCGTTCAGAGGCAACACAAACCCACATTATGTACATAATTTTTTCAGTGTATGTTTACATAGACACAGTATAGGTGTCCTGGGGGGGGTGCGGGTGGGGGTGGGGGGGGTAAAGCATGTCAACACGACTCTCACATCTCATCTACAGGTTATCTGCAGTCGCTTCATCTGAGCCAGTGTCAGTGGAAGTGTGAAGTTCTCAAGTTTTTCTCATATCTTTTGAGCCGCTGAGGCTCATGGCGTCGCCCTTTCCTTTGTTCGGATCCTGCAACAGAAAAATATTTTCACTCTTGAGTTCAGCGGGTTTTTACAATGACAAGGAAGTGCCAGTGCTCTTACTGTTATCTTTGCCTAAAGTGGCTACTTGTGTTGTTTATTTGGTTGTATTCTTGATTTTATCTGCCGGGATGTGTTGAGCTGAGCGTCGGCCAGTGTGTGTGTGTGTGTTTGTGTGTGTGTGTGTGTGTGTGTTTGTGTGCTGTGCATGTTGCCTGCTGAAGCCAGGCTGTGCGTCCTCCTCCTCGCACTCGTGTGCACAGGCGGCGTTTGTTGTTGGTCTTCACAAAAGGGCACGACTCTTAAATTGGTTCTGTCATTTCTGTCTTAAAGAATACATATCTTAATTCTGTAAAAGAAACAAATTATTTATCGTACACATCACTTCTCAAGGCACCAGTCTTTTTTCTTTTTCTTTTTTTTCCTCAGGCTGCAGGATGGAAGTGAAATGTCACCGTACAGTAGTTAGATTTGTGTTTGATGATGTTGTGAGACACTGAGGAAAGCTTCAGTGACGAGGTGAAAACTATTCTTTTAACTTTTGTTTTGTTTTTTTGTTTTGTTTTGTTTTTTTTGGTGTGTGTGTGTGTGTAACAGAAAAGGGGCACATTTTAATGGATGGGTATGTTTTTTCCTGGCCTGCAATGAGATGTCAAAATAAAAAAGCAAATTTCCAAAGCTGACGATGTTTTGAGATCAACCCGTTTTGTTCTTTTACTGTGGAATAAAAGCAACTTTCTGGTTCATAAGCAAAACACTGGCTTCACTGACTTAAATCTCACCTCTGTGTCTTTGAATCTATGTGTCCACTTGCAGATTTTGGGAAAAAAAAACTGTGTTCTTGATATCATATTGCCACTGTCACAGAATTAACTTTTCAGGAATTTAGGAGAGCAGACTCATTTACTGCCTGTTCACACTGTATTTTTGTCGTCACAAACAAACCCTAGTACTTCCCCCCAAGATGACATGATCTCTTTAACGTATCACGTAACGACAGGGACGTGGCAGAACGTGCTGCTATTAAGACGCTGTATGCTGCGGTGAAAAAGCACAAGTGTGACGGCCCAAACCGAAGGTGTGGATTTCCTTTTAGAAGACTTACTCTAGAGAAATGTTTATTTGGAAATGACCCCTGATTCTTGTTTTTTCAATTTTCTGTTCTCATCCAGTCTCGAAGCCGAGTGACGGAATCACTTTGTGTCATTTAAAACATCCTTTTCTTCAGCTTGCAGCTACTTTTGACTCCATTTCTGTGAAACCAGTCCATTGTCTAGTAACTCGTAACTTTACACCGTAATTATCTCCATGTCTGTTGATTCCACTTCACTTCAAATCTCCAACCATATCTAACAAAGCTTCCTGGTTGTGTTCGCTCAGGTCATGTTTTATTTTGCCTGTTGTGTATGGTGTGTTGTGTGTTTTTCATACTGCTGTTAAAGTGGCCAAGAGCAGGCGGCTTTGTTTACATTTTACAAACCACAGAAAATTCCAAATTTGGATTTGACACAAAGAAACGGCACTGAGGCAACGATCCTGTGAGCTGCAGAGACGTTTTTGTTGATATCAATGTCTCACGGAGGCATTTTCAGGTACATTAAAGCTTAATTGAGCATCAAAGGGTATTTTCTAACCTTTCTTCCCTGTCTTCCTCACCTTACTTCACTCTTTCTCTCACACGCTTAAGATCAGAAGTTTTTATTTGGTGCCTGATGGGAAACAAGCTGCCGCTGCGACTGTCTAATAAAAGTTTTCACAGTAAAACTCAAAACAAAAGCAAAATAAACCCTCAGATGTCACACATCTGGAGGCCTGTTTCTGCCAGAAAAATAATACAAATAGAAGTTAAATGTTTTGTCTCATAAATTTGACTTACTATCTTGTTATTTACATTTAATAAGCTAAGATTTTGACTTTTCATCTCATATTTTTGACTCTTTATTTCATAGTTATGACTTATGGTAAAATGTTTTTGACTCAAAAGTCAAGTGAACATTATTCTTACTAACTCATTTCCTTTTCAATAAACTATCATTTTTACTTTTTTATCTCATAATTGTCATGGTTTGATATGGCAGACACCTTTTGTTAGTTTTGTTTGGACTTTTTGCACTTCTTGTTTTATTTTGTAATCTGTTTCCTGGTGTGTCTCAGTTTTTTGCTTCCTGTCTTGGTCCTGTGTCTGTGGTGATTGTCTGTCCTGCCCTAATGTGCTTCACCTGTGTTCAATCACCCTTGCCTCCCTTGTCTATATAGTCTTTGTGCTCCCCTTTGTCTGTGTCGGTCCGGCTGTTTAGTTCTGGGTTTGTTCACGTCCTCGGTTCATGTTTATTATTTTGGTAAATAAACCTGTCTGCACCGTCTCCCGTGTGTTGGCTGCATTTGGCTCCTACTTACCACCAAACCCTGACAATAATTTTGACTATTTCATAATTTAAGTCAAATTCCTTCCTTAGGCTTAAATGATCAAACCTTTGACTTACTATTTTATAATTGACTTAATAAGATATTATTTGGTCTTACTGTTCTTTGACTTACTTTAAGCAGTTTGGTTTTAATCATGTCAAATTTTTCATCTATTTTTCCTTTTCCTGGCAGAAATGGGCTTCCACACACGTCGCCTCATATTTAGCACCTCTGTATGTAGTATACTAATACTAACAATGTATACATACACATGCACACACCTCATGTGCAAACAGATCCTTGTGAAATGTGTCAGTAACTAAGCTACAGTATATTCCTGATGTCTTACAACACAACATTTAGACTTTATCTGTTTGTTTTTTCGTGAGCAAGTTGAAATTTAATCAAGTAAAGACAAATCCTTTGAGATTCAGGAGGTACTTTTGATTGGATTTTCAACTACACACACATGCACACACTCCGTGTCCTCTCATCACGTCACTGAAACACTGGGAATTGTTCATTTGATTGTTTATGTGGACTGTTTTTTACTCCTTGTTAAATGAATTCTGTTTTTATTTCAGGGAATTGTGCATGGACTTTCACCTTGAGTTGAATATTTTGTTATGTTTTGTTTATTTTTGTTTTTTTGAGGGGGGGGGGTCTGTAACTAAATAAAGGAGACTATTTGAAGAAAATCAACAGCTTCCTTGTGTGTGTACAGTTGGCGAGGAGCAGGTTCATGCTGTGTGAAGGGTGACCAGCGTTTGACGCTTAGAGGAGGGCGGGAGATAAACTGTTGCTGACGTGTCTGTGGACCAATAGAGAGCCGGGGATGATTCGCACGTTGGCACAATTGGCTTAAAATAAAGACTAGTGCGCTCCAGGAGTTACAGCGATGATTGGGTGTTGGACTGTGCGTTAAATCATCAAGCTGCTGCCGTGTGTTTGATAGCAGCCAGCGGTGATTGAAAGGCGGGCGATGCGGCAGAATGGTGCCTCCAGTTTCCTGCAGGGTTTGTGTGCGGGATTAGCCGCTACTTAGCTTTGTGTATGTGTGTGTGTGTATGAGTGTGTGTGTGCGTGTGTGTGTGCGCGTGTGTGTGTGTTTGTGTGTGCAGACGCAGGGCGCTTCGAGCCGCCAGCACAGCCGCGTCAGGTGGATGCGCCTGCAGTGATCCAGGTCGCCCCTATGGATCGCGTCCATGGATGTCTTCAAACCCGCTTTGGACAATAGTTTGAGTCCCAAGGCGTGCGTGTCCTCATCGGAAGAAGCAGAAGCAGATGTTTTTCGCTGGCCGACACCGCAGAATGGGATCAGCGCCGCGCGGGATGCGGGACCCGCTGCGCCGGGTTTCTGGACGGCCGTGTTCGACTATGAAGCGACTGCGGACGATGAGCTCAGCCTCAGGAGGGGGGACCTGGTGGAGGTCCTGTCCAAGGACTCCCTGGTGTCGGGAGACGAGGGCTGGTGGACCGGTATGATAGCAGACCGGGTTGGCATTTTCCCGTCTAATTATGTGAGCAAAGGGAATGGCATCCCGGAGGAAATCCGGGACACCTCGGAGCAGCAGTACTCGGTGCCTCCTCTGCACCGTGAGTATCCTATTGTGCTTCATCACTGTACTGATGAAATGGATGTGCTATCACTAAAACTCAGCACAGGGCAGAGTCTTCCCTTGTCTTTTGTTCGAAGGCCACAGAAACCCACGATGAGACTGCTGTGTCATGGCAGGCGCAGCGCTCTCCTGTTGGCCTAGAAACTGGCTGGTCCAAGCATCCTCCAGCTTCAGGACCATTATTCATCACAGCGCCTGTCAAACAAACAGCCAGCCGCGGTCACCCCGCCTCTGTGCTCAAATTACAATGCACAATGTGTGCGGTATCCTCAGCAGGAACTGGACACGTACCTGCAAGTCCTGCACAGGCAACAACCTATTGTCAGGAGATATAACAGGAATCTTTGTTATGCTTGGTCTGCGTTCATTTTCACAGTGACTGATGGTGTTTGCACCAAAACTGTGCAGCAAGAGAGAAGGAAATATCAAGTAGTGCTTGTTGAGAGAAAGTGTCTGCAGCTAAATGTGCAGCCAAGGCCTCAGAGAGATACAGTAAGCAGAATGAAAAGCAGCTACATGCCAGCAGACTGTGCTGTGAAGGCCAGAGTGTAAACACTCTCACTTCTTACTGCTTTTTGTGAGCTATGTGGCAAGAGGATGCTCAGCACAAACAGACCTTACACGTACATTTAAGCATAAACAGGCTTCTAAGAGGGTTTAAATTGTTTGGGTGGACCACTCAGCCTCAGCTGTCTTTGTCGGCTGTGTCAGTCTTTGTCGGCTTTCATGTCTTCAGAGGCAGCTGGCCTACTTTCACATACCATCCCACCTGAAATATTCATCAAGGTCAGTCTGCTGAGTAGACTGTTAGGAATCCACAACATGAACATTTGTAGCTACAGTCCAAACACAAGACACACAGGCTCCTGTTCACATCATCAAACACTCCTTTCGTTTAAACACAAGAGGATTGTCGTCCTTTCTCCCCGTCCGTTCTTGCTTCTCCAAACGGACCTGCCACATTTCAGGACAGTTGCTCACCCTTGTATAATAGCAGGAGGGATAGTTCTACTAGATTCTGAATTTGGGGCAGCAGGGTGGCTTAGTGCTTTGAGGAAGCATCCTTCAACCGAATGACCTGGTTTTGGGATCCTTGAGTAAAATAGTGAATTCCTGGCTCTGACCTTTAATGTCTTTGATGGCTTTGAGCAAAACTGGAACGCCACTTTAAAGATAGAAATGATGTCAGCTTTGTCTGCCACTCACTTTGTCCTCTTTTGCATCTCTCCTCAGTCCTGGAGATTGATTTCTCAGAGCTGACCCTGGAGGAAATCATCGGGGTGGGTGGTTTTGGGAAAGTCTACCGCGCAGTGTGGCGTGGCTCAGAGGTGGCAGTGAAGGCAGCGCGCCGGGATCCGGATGAGGACGCCGAGCAAACTCTGGAGAGCGTGCGTCAGGAGGCCAAGCTCTTCGCCATGCTCAACCATCCCAACATCATGGCTCTGCTGGGGGTGTGTCTGCAGGAGCCCAACCTGTGTCTGGTCATGGAGTACGCCCGGGGCGGCCCCCTCAACCGGGCCCTGGCGGGGAAACGCATCCCTCCCTGCACGCTGGTGGACTGGGCCGTGCAGATCGCCCGGGGCATGCACTACCTCCACAGTCAGGCCATCGTCCCCATTATTCACAGGGACCTCAAGTCCAGCAACAGTAAGAGTCTCTCCTCTCTGTGTGTTAATGTTATTGCTGCAGTGAAAGAAAACTCTTTATCTCTGTAGGAACTTGCTTTGTGAAACTCTCCCAAAATGAATCAACACAGCATTAATCAGTTCCTATTTCACTGACTATTTTAATAAGAGTTGCATGTAGATCTGCATTTAATAATTATCATTTTCATTATCTGTTAATTTTGTGATTATTTTCTTAATTTTTGTCTAGAAATAGGCAGAAAAATAGTTACAAATAGCCATCATACTTTCCTAAAGACAAAATATTCAATTTACAGTGGTATAAAACTGAGAAAAGCTACATGTTTGAGAAGCTGGAACTAGACAATGTTTTACTTTTTTTTTTAGAAAATGGCTTAAATGGTTAATCAGTCATCAAAATAATTGCCAATTCATTTTCTACTAACTGACTGATAGATTAATGACCTAATTGTTTCAGCCTTAGTTGCATGTTGTTCTCTGTCTTACATCATTAATACATACATACATCTGTGGAGTTACTGTAGGTATTAAGTCAGACATGAAGAAACCATTTTGAAACATCGCTTTGGTCTCTAGTAATATCTGATGGCCATTTGTCATTATTTTTGTCATATCATAGGGTAAATTATAACCTGATTGATCAATAATAATAATCATAATTGTTATTTGTATCCTTAGTCCTTCATGTTTTTATTGGTGTCTTTAATTTCGGTTGTTTTTCTGTAGTTAACTGCTGGAAGGAATCATCATTACCAAACCAAATCAACCTAATTTTTTTTTGTGTGTGTGTGTGTTTTGTTAAAACCAGTAATGTCATGATCTGGAATAGTAACTGGTATTAAAGAGAAACCTTGCACAGATATATTATGGTAATGTTGGGCAATGGCACACTCAAAAATAACTTATGCACCTGTCATATATATATATATATATTATAAGATATACGAAAAATCTATTGGACTGTGCTTAATCCATGATAAACTAGTAGTGATTTACACTGATTGTATATCATTCAGAAATGAGAGCAGAAAGGAAAAGGAGTTTGCATGTATGTTTGTGGAGCAGCTGTAATCTTGCATTTTACCCAACTGGATCCCCTAAATCCCAAGCCTATTACTGAGGATTTACCCAACGCTCTGCCCCAGCCTCCCTACTGGAGGCTCCGCCAATACATACAGCCAGCCTCTTTCCTGCCATTGGCCCGTTCTCTGGTGATCAGCTCAGCCACTTCACTTCCAATAGGCTGCTTTAAAGTGTTAAGTCGGTCTAACTAGTTGCCATCCTGGGCTCTGTGGGGAAAACCCATGCCCTCTTCACAGTACAGGCAGAGTACAGGACAGCGTAGCACACCAGTCTAATCATGCAAGTGTCTAATCCACAGGTTTTCTTTCCTTTCTTGTCTGTTACACCAGATATAGGTTATACTGTAAGAAGTTCTAACCAGTATGTCATTCTTTTCTTGAGCATTGTGGGTGTTCTTAATGCATTAAATGAAAAAATGTTATATTTATATATTTAACATCTGATTTGCAATCTCCCATGACCCAAATATTAATATCAAGCAAGGTGGTCCTCATGGGTTCCAGACGCTGCAGTTGAGTAACTTTAGTCTAATCAGTGGTTACAGAAGTTGCTCAGGATACACGTCTGCTGTTGGGAATAGGATGTGGGCACACTAAGGCCCCTCCCTGTGACGCATCACTGTGGTAGTGAAGTGGTTGGTGGCAGTTTTATGAAGCTCAGTCCCTGAAAAAGACATGAAAGTCAAGATTTCTCTCTTGCATATCTAACATATGAATTCATAAACAGGGACTTACCCACTGAGTGGTTTCATTTATAGCTGTGCTCATGGGCGTAGGTGTGGTCACAATATCCCTGCCACCCACCCAAAATAGTATAATAGTATAGCAGGGCAAAAAAAATTTCAAAAAAGCTCATATTATGATGAGGCATCAAATGTCATACTATATAGTAAAACATAAAATGTTGGTATACTATGACATTTTATGCCCTACTATACTATACCGTTTTTCACGTTTTTATGGCTTACTATACTATGCTGTTTAAATACCTTACTATACTATGACATTTATATGAAATTTTATGCCTTACAATACTATTAGGTTTTTTCACATTTTTATGCCTTGCTATACAATGACATTTTTAAGCCTTACTATACTATGACTTTTTATGCCTTACCAACTATGGTGTTTTTATGCCTTACTATACTATGACATTTTTATATAATTTTATGCCTTACTATACTATGATGTTTTTTGACATTTTTATGCCTTACTATACTATGACTTTTTATGGCTTACTATACTATGACGTTTTTATGCCTTATTATACTATGACATTTTCATGAAAATTTATGCCTTACTATACAATGACTTCTTATGGCTTACTATTCTATGGCATTTTTATGCCTTACTATACTATAACATTTTTATGAAAATGTATTCCTTACTAAACTATGCTGTTTTAATGCCTTACTGTACCATGACATTTTTTCATATTTTTATGCCTTACTATACTATGACTTTTTTTGACGTTTTTATAACTTGCTATACTATGAGGTTTTTAGACATTCATTTGCCTTATTATACTATGACTTTTTTTATGTTTTTATGCCAGACCAACTATGACGTTTTTATGCCTTACAATACTATGACATTTTTATGAAAATTTGTGCCTTACTACACTGTGACATTTTTAGACATTTGTATGCCTTACTATACTATGACATTTGATGCCTTACAATACTATGACGTTTTTATGTAATTTTATACCTTTCTATACAATGACATTTTTTCACATTTTTATGCCTTACTATACTATGACGTTTTTATGCCTTATTATATGATGACGTTTTTATGCCTTATTATACTATGAAATATTTATGAAAATGTATGCCTTACTATACTATGATGTTTTTTTCACATTTTTGTGCCTTACTATACTATGACGTTTTTATGCCTTACTATACCATGACATTTTTCACATTTTTGTGCCTTACCAACTATGGCGTTTTTATGCCTTACTATACTATGACATTTTTCTGAAAATTTATGCCTTACTATACTATGCTGTTTTTTGACATTTTTATGACTCGCTATACTATGACGTTTTTAGACATTTGTATGACTTATTATACTATGACTTTTTTATGTTTTTATGCCTTACAATACTATGTCATTTGTTGCCTTACAATTCTATGATGTTTTTATGTAATTTTTTGCCTTACTATACTATGCCTTTTTTCACATTTTTATGCCTTACCAACTATGACGTTTTTTTTTTTTTGCCTTACAATACTATGACATTTTTGTGAAAATGTATGCCTTACTATACTGTGCCAATTTAATGCCTTACTATACTATGACTTTTTTATGCCATACTATACTATGATGTTTTTAGATATTTGTATGCCTTACTATACTGTGCCAATTTAATGCCTTACTATACTATGCCTTTTTTCACATTTTTAGGCCTTACCAACTATGACGTTTTTTTTTTTTGCCTTACAATATTATGACATTTTTGTGAAAACGTATGCCTTACTATACTGTGCCAATTTAATGCCTTACTATACTATGCCTTTTTTCACATTTTTAGGCCTTACCAACTATGACGTTTTTTTTTTTTGCCTTACAATACTATGACATTTTTTCACATTTTTATGCCTTACTATACTAAGACTCTTTATGGCTTACTATACTATGACATTTTTATGCCTTACTATACTATGACTTTTTTGACATTTTTATGCCTTACTATACTATGACATTTGATGCCTTACAATTCTATGACGTTTTTATGTAATTTTATGCCTCAATATACTATGATGTTTTTTGACATTTTTATGCCTTACTATACTATGACTTTTTATGGCTTACTATACTATGACGTTTTTATGCCTTATTATATGATGACGTTTTTATGAAAATGTATGCCTTACTATACTATGACATTTGATGCCTTACAATTCTATGACGTTTTTATGTAATTTTATTCCTTAATATACTATGACGTTTTTTGACATTTTTATGCCTTACTTACTATGACGTTTTTTGACATTTTTATGCCTTACTGTATATGACGTTTTTATGCCTTATTGTATGATGACGTTTTTATGAAAATTTATGCCTTACTATACTATGACGTTTTTTCAAATTTTTATGCCTTTTGTGCCTTACTATACTATGACGTTTTTTCAAATTTTTATGCCTTTTGTGCCTTACTATACTATGACGTTTTTTCAAATTTTTATGCCTTTTGTGCCTTACTATACTATGACGTTTTTTCAAATTTTTATGCCTTTTGTGCCTTACTATACTATGACGTTTTTTCAAATTTTTATGCCTTTTGTGCCTTACTATACTATGACGTTTTTTCAAATTTTTATGCCTTTTGTGCCTTACTATACTATGACGTTTTTTCAAATTTTTATGCCTTTTGTGCCTTACTATACTATGACGTTTTTTCAAATTTTTATGCCTTTTGTGCCTTACTATACTATGACGTTTTTTCAAATTTTTATGCCTTTTGTGCCTTACTATACTATGACGTTTTTTCAAATTTTTATGCCTTTTGTGCCTTACTATACTATGACGTTTTTTCAAATTTTTATGCCTTTTGTGCCTTACTATACTATGACGTTTTTTCAAATTTTTATGCCTTTTGTGCCTTACTATACTATGACGTTTTTTCAAATTTTTATGCCTTTTGTGCCTTACTATACTATGACGTTTTTTCAAATTTTTATGCCTTTTGTGCCTTACTATACTATGACGTTTTTTCAAATTTTTATGCCTTTTGTGCCTTACTATACTATGACGTTTTTTCAAATTTTTATGCCTTTTGTGCCTTACTATACTATGACGTTTTTTCAAATTTTTATGCCTTTTGTGCCTTACTATACTATGACGTTTTTTCAAATTTTTATGCCTTTTGTGCCTTACTATACTATGACGTTTTTTCAAATTTTTATGCCTTTTG